TTGGACATTTTCAGTTCTGCTTTTAATTTCCGCAGTCTGGGAGACGGTGTCGCCCTACAAGATTCCATTTGGCAAAACAAAACAGGTAATTACCGCCCAAGAGCGTATCAAAAGCTGTTATATTACTTACAGGCAGAGGAGACATCAATCCCTAGAACACACCAACAAAAGAACCAAATTGTGTAAAACCATGCTCCTGCGGATGAGATGCGACATAACTTGAGATAGGGAAAAATAATGGCAAGCAGGGATCCACTGATATGGTTGATTGATGATAGACACCAAAGTAACTAATTAACTATGAAGATGCGTCTAATGACCGTCCAACCCTCCAGCCGTGAATAATATTAATTATTATCCCATTAGCAGAATTTCCCTTTCGGCCCTACCCAAATGTTTACGCCAACGCAAAGTGAATGCATCTTTGGCCTGAAAATGTCAAGGAGCATTTACTATGCGGCACTGCAAGCTATGCTCGTGGAGCATCTGACTTCTAACCAACGGCCAGATACGCCGTCAGCTGTCAGGGCTGCTTTCCTCCAGTGAAAAGTTCACCTGCCAGTGAGCACTGCGGTTCGCCCTGTCGAGCCAGGGAGGTGTGCTGGGCATGGCATGGCATCACTGTGCCACTGCACTGGCAGCAAGAAATGTTCATTGCATTGCATTTTTAGCCTTAATTTCTTATTTACCCAAGGAGAACTTGGCTGCATAACTTTTGTTGTTTTGATTTGGAGGCTGCCACTGCCAGTGAAATGAAACGGAATGAAAATCCAGCGCACCCAGCTTTAAAGCAACGCATGGTCAGCAGATGTGGCGGCTGCCTTAGCTCTATAACTTTCCCCAGGCCTACACTGCCACGGGAATCCTATATGTAACATAATTAAACATTATTTTGTCCAAATGCTTTCATGCCCAAAATACGACTTTCCACTGCTAGCCACCGCGCTGTCAATATATTTTACGAGCGTTGAACATTTCACTCAATTGTGAAACTTGGCTGTGCTTCGTGGAATTGAGTGGTAATATGTGTTAATCTTAGCTACCAATTGGGGAGGGGCCGTGCTATTGCTCCTTTGCAAACAGACATGAACACACACCATGTATGGCAAAAGAGTTGGGCAACTAGTAATTATTTGACACAAAAAATGATATGCACTCGACGATGACAGATGAAATACATTTAATCACACGCGGCAACTTCAGTACTGATATTTATCCTTGTTTTTGCAATATGAAATCTAAAGATATATAGAAACCGTACAATTACTCAGAGGGTGGGACTTTCTGAAAAAATCTTGGAATATCATTCCGTAGAAGACTCGTCACGATCCTTCATAGAACTCAATCTTGCCTCTTTAGTTGATAAGCCGTCAGATTTACCAGTCACCAACGAACTTTCATCGTAGTTATCACTGTTTGCAAGGCATATGGGTGAATAATGATTTAGGGACCCTTGTCCCTGCTTTGACTATGTTTATGTAATTCAGGAATGTTCTGAGTAGTACAGAGACTTTGTAAGACTGCAAAACCCATAATAAGTCCCACGGTTTTCTTAAGTAAAAGGGTTAATCTACAAATATTCTTTGTACTCAGGAAATTAAGAATAACTAAGCTTTTCTATAACCTATATTGGCCTTTTGCAATAATATATATCGAAATTAAGTAAACCAAATAGGTCACCTATTCGGCACTCCAAATCCGATTGGAATTTCGCTCAGGCATCTGGCGCCTAAGCCTGCGCTGACGGCAAAGGCGATTCGTTTAGTTTATGGCGTAACGGAGCGACTCACATATCATTTATATGTTTTATAGACATCAAGTCACAACGCATAATTTCTGACTTAGAAGCGAGAATGCAACTACGTAAGAGCAAACATGAGCCTGACATTTATTTCAGTTTCGACAATCTCTCGCTAAACAAACCACAAAAGCCAAAAAACAGACTAACAAGAGATAGTGACTTTTTGCATATTTTACTAAAAATAGAAGCAAGGCAGAGATTGGTGAAACATCTCCCGAGATGAGGCAGTCGAGTCGTCAGTCGGCCACACACAAACAGAATGAGATATGCCAGCCAGGGCAGACAATAAGTAAATACAGGGATGCACGTGAGGGGAATCCTTAAATGGCCCGTGTGTCCAATGGCCTCAACAGGTCGAGCTGGGATTACGTTCGCCTGATTAACTTGGTAAACACCGGGAGAGTGGTGGTGGCGAATAGGAAAAGTCAACAGACCCTCGGTCAAGAAGCAAGAGTTGGGAAAAATAATTGGTCAACGGTCCGAAAAATTAGTAGATTTCAGAAAAGGCGGGCAAGTATTTGAAAATAAACAAAAAGGGCATAAATTCAATTTCGTTTAAAGTATATGCCTGTATTTTAAAAAGTTATCAAAATTTCTAGTACATTTGAGTTGTGAACAGTTTTTTCTACAAATACTAGGATTGGGTTTTAAATAAATATTTAAATGACGCAACATGATACAACAGCTATCGCATTTCAGAGATTAAAGTATTATACTAACAAAAACATAGTTGTGCTTTGAAGAAACGACTTCATTTGCTAGGAAATTACACAAAAGACGTTTAAAAAGTGTTTGTTGGAACCCAATCTATGTACCTATATGGAATCAACTTACTCGCCACTACTGCTTGTTGACGAATCGGCGCCCGCGTCCCCTTCCTGGACACCGCCAGCCGCCGTTGGACTAAATGCATTGCATTCTCTCAAAGAGACTTGTGTGGTTGGAGAGGGCGAGTCCTCCACGGGCAAATACCAGGTGGTATGGGAGCCTCGGCTAGCGTATACCTCCTTACTGCCGTTGGACTGAGGGGGTGTGGTTGAGTTGGGTTCCCGTTCCCTCAATTCCACCGACACGACGGGATCCTCAAACTCGGTGACCGAAGCACGCCCACTATCTGCGCCAGTTAGCCTCTTATCCTTGGTATCCTCGGCGAAGACCTCGCTCTCGGCTGCTTCGGTTGCCGCGTCGCAATCCTGAAGCACTGCAGCGCTCGCTGCCTGCGCAGCCCGGGGTAAATTCATTGTCGTTGTAGACATTTTCGTTCATGTGTTCTCGCCGTTTTGCGTAATAAACTTTGCTCGTTTTGGTTTGGTGTGGTGTTATTGATTTTCGCTTATGGTTCTTACTCGGATGCGCTATTTGCGTTGTTCCGTTCCCTATGCGTTGGCACACATTTTGGCTTCTGCCCAAGCGTTCCTCAGAATGCCAGCAGCACGTATAAACACAGATACACACGCGGACGCCCACGTTCGGTGCTCGACGACCGGCTAGGCGGCTGTTTCTCACAATTGCACGGATTTCAGTATGTTTAATTAACACTGGATACCGAGTTCTAGCACCGCCCCAAATATTATTTAGTTTACATAGCCTGGGATGTGATAGTTGCTGGATGTGGACACGAAAACGAAGCCAAACAGCTGATTTCCGTTCACGGGGGCGGAAGGAAGCGCGCCTGAAAGTTATAAGTGCATTTTTTTTCGCGTCTGTTCGTCTATTGTTTTTTACATTGGCTGTCAGTGTGACCAACGGTGCTGGACGAAAAAATACCACCTCCTTATTAAAATATACCGAAGATATGGACCTGCAGCAGTACTGCCAATTTAGGTATTTGCCCCTCTAGATCTGGCGGCTTTATATTGGAAATGGCGGAATATGGACTACAAAAATTATTATTGGTGTAATGATGAGTTTATTAATAAAAACAGGAGGGATAACAAATGCTGTCATTAATGTGATGTGCCAGCAGCTTAAAGTCGTTTCACTATTGTAGCGTTTTTGTTTAGCTACCATTTAAATTGTCTGGCTTTTTCTTGACCCGAAGAGGTGGCAACACAGCTCTGAAACGTTAGCCTAAACCTGCACCAGGATCATGTCATGGATGTTGGGAGGGCGCTCTATTTGAATATCAGTGGTAGGACAATTATTTTTAAGCAGGAACTAGTATAAATACTAGCAGTGTTTAAAAGAGTAAGCTTTACTTCAAAGGATTTTGCAGAAGGAGTTGCCATAAATTCGCTTTTCTGCTTTGATTAATAGATATATCGTTTTGTTTATCAATATCGGATGAATATACCTCAAGCTGAAAATGGGTAAGGCTGAAACTTCGCGTTTGTGACCATACACAATATACATAAAAAAAAGAATATACATACATACATATACATACGTATATAAGCCAGACTTGCAATCAATTAAAGGGGATTTCGACGCGCATGCTTGTGCTTAAAAGTATGAAAAACAATTCCCCAAATGTACAACATTAATACTAAATAGACCTAAAATAATAATTTTTCGACACATACTTGCAACTTGCATGTCGCTTTTTATATAAATCAACTTTTAAAATATGTTTTACTGGACAGTCGGCTCTTAAAAAGAGACTAATTTGCAAAAATTCCGTGACAAAAGCCATCTCTGTCAATACTGCGCCGACTTTAATTTGCCATCGCTGTATGCCGCGGGGGCGAACTCACGCTCCCTTACAGACACCATCATTGCTTATTTATGGACTAAGTAAAAGGACGCAGGTCGAGAGTTGGCGAGGGGACGATGGTAGGGAGCTGTGGGTAAGGAAGGGCCGACCAAGAACGACGTTCAAATCTGTGTCTATAGTATAGTCGAACAGTAGGTCGCTGAACTCAGCAGCACGACATGGGCACAACCGGCTGTTTATTTGTTCGACCATAAAGATGAAGCGGAGACTTCTGTTGGTCCTTTTGTACTAGGCATATTTGCGCTGCTGCTCGCAGTTTGTCCGATAAAAGCACAATTGAGAATTGCATAGCCTGCCACCTACCTGGCATTTGGTCCCTTGGGCACCGCTCGTAAGGTGTTAATATAAGGAAGTTAATTGAACATCGATCTATTTAAGGTTAGTGAACAGTGACGGTATTGGGAACAAAAGGCAACTTCTGAGTTTAGCAAAAGCCCTAAGCGCTAATTGAAATATCCAAAAATAAATTACAAAAAGAAGTCTCACCCCGCAAGTTGAGGTCTCCGAAGCATCAGACTTGACAAAGACCGACTGCGTCCCATCCTGTGGCACTGGTCGCTTACAACCTTCCTGAAAAGGAAAAAATATCATATTGATGACTATTATCCATTATTGACAGTATCCAATCTCATTTCGCTGTCACCACTCATTTTCATTGTTATCTATCACGTCTAATGGTACCTAAAAGCCCTGCTCTAAGAGAGAGAGGACTTGTCAATCGCTAATGGCTTGGCCAGTTAAAGCTTTTAGCAGGGGCACCATAACTTGGTTCCAACCTATCCCTCTAGAAGTTGCAAGACAAAACTCACCTGAGCACGATTTCCTCCTCTGCCGCCACTTGGGACGCATTCTCCTGGTTTTCGAACTGCTCGAAGGGTTGGCAAATGCTGGCAATACCGCTACACAAGAAGGTCCACGATGGATTGGATTTTTCTATCCCTTGGTGCTTTGGGCCTAGGACTCTGGTGTCTTCGTTAACGGTCACTGAGGTGACGTGGGGCTTCAAATGCTCCTGCTCAAATAAGGGAACGCCGGACACGGACTGGCCCTTCTTGGTTTCTTCAGGACCACTCTTTTTCTGACAGGCAGCGCAGCGAGGCCAATAGTCGCAGGTATCCAGAGTTTTGCTGCAGCTTTTGGTGGTTGCCGTTGTTGGGTACTCTGCATTACTACTATAAAACAACACGAGATACATACAAAACCCTACGCACAAAGGATTTATGTGGTAGTTCACCCAAAACTCTTTCTTAATGAGAGGAGCTCAATGCTTTAAATCTCTGATGTAGAGCATTTGTAGTTGGTACATTGATATCTAATATGCATTTTAGTTTTGATTTATGTTAGTAGGTGTATTTTTGTACAGATGTTGCCAACCATGAAAAGATAATGTAAGGAGTAAGGCTGCTACCACCGCACAGTTCATAAATTCGGTTAGTACATAGATTAGTAAGTATGCATAAGCAGTCTCTTAAACACACATTCGCACGGGTGCTTTCTCTGGTCGTGTTAGTGCCTTAGGCGTTATTAAATTTAGTTTAAGTCGAGGCCTTCGATTTCGTCTTAATTTCGAGGAATATATTTATATACAGCTAGCAGGCTTTCTCGCTGTTACTTAGAATGCTGAATGCGTCAGCTGAATAGATGATTTAGTACCTGCTGCTCCGCGGCTGGGTGGCCTGCTGCCTGTAAATATAGTCGCCACCCACTCCGACAGCAACCTCAAGGTTAAGGTCGTCCCGTGACCCCGGACTTTGGCGGAGGGAGCGCTGTGGCTTCAGCACTGTTGTCGGGTGCTCGTAGATACGCGTTTCGTTGCTCATAAAGTTTAGCTCGCTGTTGCCCCCAGAGTTTATGGTTTCCCTATTTCGCAGCATTGCGGGCAGCTCATAATCACCGCTGTCTCCTCGGCGAAAGTTCATGATCGGCGATTTTCGCATCATTTCGTAAGTTAGCTCGTGGTCGCAAAGACGCGTCCCATAGCTCTGAGGGCTACCAGATTGTCTTGTTGGCTGGTGGAGATTGTTAGACGAGGATCCCGATGACTGAGGAGACCGTGACGCTTCCATGCTAGATGCGTTAACGGGGGAATTGGACTTTCGTAGGCGGGATGAGGACGTGGAGGCCATGGAAACGATTCCGGAATCGGCGGCAGGCTGTAGGAAACGTAACCCGCTTACGCTTCCGTTGCTGCTGTTGTTGTTGTTGAGCACAGCTTCGCGGAAGTCGTCGTCAAGGGATCGGGACTCCCTCTCAACCCGCAGATTCTGGTTGCTTCCACTGTCTCCTCCGCTCCCACTTGTGTGAGCGTTCCGTGCTGTTCCCTTTGCCCCTGCACCGCGGTTGTAGTTGTTGTAGTCGAAGTCGAAGGAACGCGCCTTGTCTGCCTCGTTTTGTCGACCTCTCACCGAGTTGCTTGGCAACGTAGTCGGGTTGACACGGATCTTTGCTGCGGCTGGAGAGGCTCGAATGGAGGGTGGGAAGACGGATCCGCTTGCCAAGCGGGACTGCTGGAAGGAAGTTCCTGCCGCCTGCTGCTGCGACGTCACAGGACCAACGTTAACGATCGATTTGTGCGTTCGATTCGGAGAGCGCTCAGTAAGTTGCAACGATCTGTAAGAAAAGCGATAGGCTTGAAGTCTCTTGGGAATATCATTTCAGAACACAGAAAAAAAACCCACAACACTTGCAATGAGAAAGTAATATGAAACAAATTAAGCCTACGTTGATTTTGAGATTAATGAAGATGTCAGAATTTGGAATTAAATGGCTTTCAAATATCTCAATGCTTTTCAAAGGAACTATCACAAAATGTTATTTAAAAGAGATTGGATGATAGCGATAATATTCCATATTCTCTGTCCCATTCCCAGAATAACTTTTGTTTGAGTTAAACAAATATATTTACCCACCTCGAACGTCGGATCCGGTGCTCCTGCTCCGCCTGCTTAACGGCCATTGCACGTCGGTGACTGGTGGAGCCACTTCCGGCAACGGCGGTCGAGGCAATTACAGTCGAGCTGGTGCTGGCATTGGGGGGCTTTGGCTCGTGAGAGTCACCACCACTGTAACTGGAGCTGGAGGAGCTTCGCGATATGTTGGGTTGCGTCTTTTCCTCGTGCCGCTGGCGAACCTCTAACGTATTGCTCCTGGAGCTGGAGTTCTGCCGGGAACCGCTTAAAGAGATTTGAGACCCCTTCTTTCGTCGCTCCTCGGGAGTCAAGGACCTGGATTCGGGGGTCAGCGATCTTTGCTTCCGCAGACTGCTAGAAGAGCTATGGGAATCGTTCCGATCTGGTGTAAGGGACCGTTGGCGTTGTATCTTGAATGGGGAGATGCTGACGCTGCTCGTTCCGACTTTGGGGAACTTCTGACTGCCGGCAGAGAGAAACTCGCTTAGACCGCCATCTTCGTTGTCCAGCTCATCATTGGAAAGATCTGTCAAATAAAGTGTTATTAATGTGAGTTCCACCTAGGACTCCGCGAAAGGATTCCCAAAAGATTTCTCTCCATAAGTATATCTTACTTTCTAACATTGAGAAGGCAAAATTACTTATTTGCAGTTAAAATGCTTTCTACTGACCAGATCTCGCGCCACTGTCGCAGGAATTGAGGCGTTGACTCTTGGACGTATCAAAGCTTCTGAAGCGCGACACTCCCATATTTTGAGTGTTTGGATGTACTGCCAGAGGTCCGGCACTGCCTACGCGGCTGAACTGGGATTTTCGAGAACGTCCAAAGCCATGGCTCTTGGAACGCTCAGCAGTTCGTTCGTGTCGGGAGCGCGGAGAGTACTTGGCTTGACTGCCGGCGGCTAAACTGTAGACAGGAGGCGCCTCCTTGACAGCGGCATTCAAATAGGCCGTTGTCGTCTGCGGATGCAGATACTTAGGAGAGTTGTCGCGGCTTCGAAGGGAGCCACTGCTGCCACCGCCGCTTTCCCGCTTCGTTAGGTAGTTAGGTGAGTTGCCGGTCAGAGTGCTGAAGTTAGGTGACCTTTCCCGCTGGCCCGCTAGTACGGCCAGGTTCAGCGGCCGTTCTGACAGGTTTCCATCAAAGCTGCGGGAAAAGGTCTCTACGTAGTTATCGGTGGGCGTGGGTCGGCGGTTGTCGTATTCGAAACTCCGGGAGAATACCATGCCCTTAGCGGGACCGTTGTTGTGGTGCGAAGTGCCCAACTGGGCCGGCACAGGCAAAGGACCCTGTTGGCGAACTGGCTTGCGGCGGTCCGGATGCCGTGCAATTCGGCTATTGTCCTGGAAAGCGGGTGGCGGCGACAGAATTGGAGTGATGGGCGAGTCCAGATCGTTGGGGCTCTTAACTGGCAAGAAGCCTGGCCTTTCGTTGAGGATGTTCGCCAGTTGGGGATCGATAATCCGGTATCCCGGACGGAGGGCAGGGTCCCGTGAGGAGTAGCCACTTAGCCGCGCTTCGTTTCTCTGAATTAGCTCTTCTACCTTGGAGCCGATAAACTTGGGCTCGGTCATGCTGATATTGGCTTGCTGCTGCTGATGCTGCTGAATGAAAGACTGCCGCGCCAGGTCTGAGCGACGTCCATGGTCCGGAGGAATAGCCCTTGCCGCAATTCGTCCGCGACCGTTGTCTGGAAAGACCGATCCGCCATTTTGTTGGCCATAACTGAGTCGGCGACAGCTACTGGAGGTGTCATCCTTGCTACTCCCACGTTTCGTGTTGACCTGTACCCAGCCGGACTTGTTCAGGAATATTTCCTCCTTGTTGGTAGCGGGCGACTTTCGCCCAGATCCGGATACCCCGTGAAAGTGTTCTCCGAAAAGATACGTGGGCACTCCGTTGGAACCAGACGTCAAATGGGAGGCGGCAGCGTTTCCATTGGCACCGCTGCCCCCTATGTGGTAGTGCATTCTGCGGGCCTCCAGCTTCTCGTTGAAGCAGCGATTGGATGCCTCGAGACTCTCTCGTCGCTTGGCGACGTACTGTTGAAAGGCGGAGAGGTGTGTCTGCTGCTGTTGGGGATGTGGTTGCTTCTGCTGCTGGCCAGCTGCGTTGCTATTTGGCGCGCTTATTTCTGGTTTTTTTGACTCTGGAGTGTCCGCTCGCTGTCGGGGCTTGAGAGGATTTTGGACTGCTGCTGCAGACGATTCATCAACCGCACTGCCATCTTCGACAACTTCATGGCGCTGCTGCTGTCGATGCTTTGAGGGACTAGTGCGAGATCGGGTACGACGACGCTTGGGGAGAGCGGGCAGCGGTAGAGTGCTAACGTCTAGTTTCTCGAGTGTCGAGGAGGAGAGCTCATCGTTCTGGGACTCACGGGTAATGGAATCGCGTGTCAGGTGACTGTCGTCCGATTGCGCCTCGCTGGAGTCGAGGCAGGCGTAGTCCTGACGTGTCAGTGCTCTTGAGTGCGTTGGATTCACCGTGGCTGTCGCACATGCAGGTACAACGGGCGTCTGATTGCTGTAAGAAAGGTGCGCGTAAAGGTCTATTAATTTCACAAAACTGTTGGGTAGCAATAGGTATCCAAGTGATAAAAGTGGATTGACTTAGAACCCTTATCGAGCGCTAATGCCCTGCATAGTAACCGTAGCCTAACAGACCTAATGGCTAGGACAAACGAGCCGGGCCGAGTGGCGGTGCTCGAACAACGGTTCAATGTCCGGGAACATGGTTCAGCACTCGCCTGAACTCGTTGACATCTGCAACGATACCGATGCAGCAGTAAACGCTGGCACTGCAGTCTTGTGCCGTTTCACCAGCTGTAAGTGCTTTGCCTTGTTGCTGCCACTGCTGGTGGCTGACAACGAAGCGTTGCGCAGGGCGAGGATGGTGGAAATTAAGCCACGTACTGACACTTTCCCAGAGCTGGAGGCACAGGCAATGCCAAAGAATACACATACAACCGCCCATATTTTGGTAACTCAGGGCTTAGTCGTACGCAGTGGTCCAGATACACCGAAAGGCTATCTAAAGTTTTCTATACTTGACCCTGAACTAAACAATAAGTGGGAGAAAATGTTGCCAAACCAGTTGGAAAATCACAAGCGGAGAACACGCACATATGTAAATACCAATTCATAGCGCATTTACAAGACGTGTGCAACGATTGCAAGGTGCATGGTGGGTGTCATACGTTGACGATGAGCTGCACAGCTTGACTTCAAATTAGGGTGACTAGTCTGTCCACCATATGTATGGTAAGCGTCAGTGACAGTTCTCAGATTAGAACAACAAGCGACAGCCTGCATCCCTATACGTCACACGTTTTATGTATCTATCTAGCGTGGCCCTTATAAATCGGGATGTGGCACAGGCTTTTCTCCAGAAACGACTTTAGACGGGCATTTCCGGAAGGGACACTGTATATGAGACTTGTGCCAATAAGTGTATCCCTCAAGCTCTGACAGCTTTCGCCGGCATTTCACACCCTCTTTTATGGTTGGCTAGCAATGACAACGCATGTATCTTTGATGTTGTTAGAATTTATAAGTGGCTTAGATGCCTTATAGGCCAGAATACACTAGGGCGGAGATGCGCAAAACTCGAGAGGCTCAGAAAGCAGATCCAAAGAAAACGGTTTAGCCCCAACGCTCCAATTTTGGGATACGAATATAATCACTTAAAAACTTGTCATACCAAAACGGTCAACAGCCAACAAAAAACATTAAAAACTTCGGTTCGTTGCCTTAGTCTGTCAAGTTTTTCGATTGCGTGGGCGTTATAACGCCTAGTTCAAATTTGGAAGCGTTGGTATTTCTCGAATGTGAACCAAGCTGAATCGAAAGAGTTGTTAAAGAATTGCGTTCTTCTGTTTAATCTTGAAATGAAATCTTTGGTTAGATACCAACCGATGTCCGTCTATCTTCGAATGAAAACCCACGTATATTTGACCGACAATAAAATATATTATATCTTCATGGAGCCCTTGATTATTGTCGAGGCATATTTGAGTAAATTACCTTAAATTTTAAACTATATACTCGTGTGGTTTAAGTATTGAAAAAGTAAACATGTAATATAAATTCCCATTAGATGTGAGTACTCAAAAGTCTACCTTGCGAACCCCATTATTAGGTAATGTTATCAAGTGTTTCAGTGCGTGGCAGCCCACGAACATATATTTATAAACCATAATCAACTTGCATGTCCCAGCGGAGTTTTCAAAAAACTTTTCAAATTTTCCACTAGAAAACTAGATCTGTCAGAATCAAGCCTTTTAGATTCAGGCTTCGCCTTTAATAAACGAGTTCACAACGTTTAAATAGCGTTTCAAGAAATTACCAATATAAAAAGTAAAAGGACATTGCATGCATTCGAATAAACAGGAAGTGGGGGCACTTACGCTCATAGAGTGCCCGCGATGTGCCACTAATTATATCTCCGCACACATAGATAAACACATGTTCCGGGACGAGTTTTTATTTCTGCTAGCTTTTGGCTCTCATTTCACCATGGTACCCTCTTAATTTTGCAATTTAATATGCATAGAGGCATGTCTGAGTGTCTTTAATTTGCAATTAGTTTAACGACCACGCTTTCATTATATCGTGATCCAAACTAATCAAACTTTTTATAATAATTTCTCCTAATGGTTTGATCTATGTCTCGAATGCATTTACTACAGGCTACTGTAGACCGAAAGTTTAATTCTGTTTTCAAAGACAACTGAACCCTTTTAGCTTGGCGATTTAAGCTTAATTAAAAGCGCGGCAATGTGTTTTTTAGTGAAAGTTAAATGAATGAACTCAATTACGACTAACAAGCTTCCAGAATAAACACGGGATTTTTGTTATATTTTCTTATCAAGTGAAACACCATTAGAAGAAAGCTCTCTAATGGTACCCTATACCACTATTAATCAAGCCGCCTTTGCTTTTTGTAATTCTCGAAGAGACCGAAAGTTTTCACTAAAAATTGTTTGCGCATTTCTTTAACAAAACTCGCTGTCTGAGGGGCAATGATTGCCGGTTGGGATATCGTAAATAAAACACAAAACAGCGAGCTTGCATATGCGGCATGCATCATAAAACTGGTTTTGAATCATGTTAGGCCGCACTTGTCTTCAGCAGAGCAGAGCAGGACGAGCCGAGGACGGGTACTAGTAAATCGATTGCATTATCTCGCATACCTGTTAGTCAACTTGCACTTTCGACTGCGTCCAGAGCCAACTAGCAATTTTACTAGCTCAGAAGCAGCTTCTTCGACGCTTTAAGATGTGGTAACGTTGGCTAAGCTGCAGCGGCATTGACTAAAAGCCAATGACCAAATGAAGTTGCGGCCATAGGAAACGAGTTTCACATTTTCTATACCATATTTGCCAGCCACTTGTTCATAATGATCGGTCTCATAAGTATCGAATGGGTAGGCTGCATGCAATTTGCAGCAGTTCAATTGCAAAATGCCAACAAACTTTTTTATTTTCGGCCTGAAGGTTTTGAAGGTCGTCCCCAATTTTGCAAAACACTGGCCCGATGTGTAGCAATATGAGCCCGGCGGTTTCTGATTTGTCGTTGGCCCTGGTTTTCTTCCATTACCTTTCTTGTATTGCATTGCAAGTTTAACTTGTTTTCAATTAGCAACGCTTAAAGCCATCCGTATGATTGGAACTTTACCCAAAACACGGGCTGTGAACGAGTGAATGGTGTGCTGACTCGGTATAAAAAGTATTTGTATGACAAAATCGCACGTGAAAAATACGTTGAGTACTTAACAAATGTATTGTAACTCACACAAGAGGCTGCAATATCAGGATGACATAAAATTATTATTTTCCCCATTTTCCAGCTACAAACAATTCAAAAAAGTGCGATTGTGCGGGTGTGCACAAATAAGAAGATGTGCAAATGGTTGAAGAGCCAACACAATAAAAGGGAAACAAATGACAAAATTCATTTATGTAGGCCGGTCTCGTATTTAGAGCCCTTAATAAACGTTGGCTAGTACCAGAAGGCAATGATTTTTCAAAAATTATTGATTGCCGAATTTTTATAGAAGTAAGGGAAAAGGAAGCCGTGCTATTATAGGAAGGCTTATTAAACCAATCTAGTAAATGTAATATGTGCTCGAACGCAGTAATTAATCACATGATCAGATAGGATGGAATATTATATAGAACTTGTAAAATAGGTGGCTCTTAAATGCATTAATACCTATCCACAGTGCCCCCGGTTATTCACAAACAGGTGTTAAGGCGCAAGGTGCGCATTAACTTACATCGCCTGCAGGTATTATTAATATTCTGTCGTCCAGAAATATATTCATCTACTTATTGTCCTTTTGATAATGAAGTTAATTCGATTCCACCAGCATGTGAATTGCGCATTGTCTTAAAGCTTTAGTTCTTAAAGTTGCGCTATTCGATTATTCACAGAATCCATCCATACGGAAGGATATAATGTATTTTAGTACTTCAGCCTAGCGGTTGTTTTGAACCGCACAATCGGTCCTTGAACAGACGCTCTTAAAGCACTTTCCGCAGTACAATTTTTTTAGGGCTCCTAGGTAATTGTTTGGTTGGCACGCCAAAAAATACACAAGTTTCGCGATAGTGGTCATTTTCACTGGACAATCGAAGGCACACAAATGATTATTCGGTGGATATTGCAATCGGGGGAGCAGCTGGCACAGCTTCTCGATTTACCTTTGATGTATTAAAAATTAAGTTTCAAGGGGGAGGCTAACACAAGGTAATACCAAATGTGGCGCAAAGCAGTACTCTCAGGAGCTGCTGCGCATATGATTGCCCTCTCGCGGAATGCAAACAGCCTTAATAGCCTAATTAACGCACTTTCAAATCAAACCATGGGTAAATGGCAATTTATACTTTAAGTTCACTTCATGTTTGACTTTTGGACCGAGGCCTCTTTGAGTTGGGGATCACGAGGTACATGTCACATACACTGGACAAGAAATCTGGCCATTTTGGCAGCACCCACCAACAACAAGTGTTTGCCTTGCACTAATGTTTACACATGAGTTTCCACCTCTTGCCACAATAAAGTTCAAGTTACTTGTACTTTAGCTAATCCTCATAGGCTGGGGCCCAGACCTCGAGTCGCGTACCTGTGCGCTACCGCTAGCGTTGCGTTATCCGTGTTGCCCGTCTTGCAACTAAGCTCCAGCTCGACTACGCTGTTGCTGGCGCTGGTGTTGCCATTGGTGGTTGTTGAGATTTCCCGAGCAACATTTGGAGCGTTGGATCCCCACTTGGAGCGATTCTCCTTCGAACATGTCGGAACAACATGTTGCATGGGGGCACCTGAGTCTGCTGGAGCTTTTTTATCGTGTTTTGTTTTGGTTGGCTTTTCGCCGTTTGCCTCCACAGTGTCCGTGGACTCGGGCGGCAGTTGGGGCGACGATTGACGAGGGCGGGGACGGGGGCGTGTGGCCGAGTCCAGTTGGTTCTCCACTCCAGCCGGGCTCCTGACGCCCCCATTCGGGGCCTCAGCTTCGTCGCTGCCATTACAGATGGCATTTCCTTCCGGTATGTCCGCGATGGCGGACGTCTCCCGCACCTCTGGCGCAGGGGCAGCTGGGGGCGGGGAATCGACATCCTCGGCCAAATGCTCTACTTTGGTGTCAATTGCGGCCTTGCGATTCTCGTTAGCAATGATGTCCCCCAGTGCCTGTGTGGATGTCGCCGTGTGGGACGGACTCTGTAAAAATATCAATTAATTAAAATCTTATTCATCTTCATTTTCACTCGATGCATTTTCATCTTCAATGGACCCAATTCAACTATGACTAATCTAACCGGCTTCTCTATTTGTAAATGTGAAGGGAGCCAAAAATATTGACCATTTCATCACATCAAATCTGTTTCATTTTAAAAAATACCTAACAGATTATGAACCAGAAAGACGAGGAATAATGTTGCAATATCCAAAAGCCGCATATTGAAGTCCATTTGTCCTCTATTATATTGATACCTTGAAGATATGCTAAAGGTGTGAAGTCAGCAACTCTTTGAGTTCTATTTACTACGGCTTTTCAAAATGGTGTTTTAGGAAAAACGAAATTGCTTTCCATCTTGTACATTTATTAAAATGTTTGATGCGATGCAACACACTAAAGATCCTAACTCAACACAGGGATCAAATCTATAGCCAATGATCTTGACTGCCAAAGATTGGGTTTATATAAATGTATTTTACTTTTCAATAGTAACAACGCTAAAAGGAACAAAAGTCCAAAACTCACCTTTTTTGATACACCTGTGGCCTCCAAGGGCAAGATACCCCCGCCAGAGTCCTCACTGCGTGCATCATAAAATACTTCGTTGTCGTCTGTCTCCGCTGCACTTCCATCTGGCGCACAAGTTAAGAGTTCCCCTATCTTATCAGATAGACCGCCAGGGACTTCTTTTCGAGTTTGATTCGACTTTTCTGCTGAAGTTAGATGAACAGTTTCGCCTTCTAAGCTTCGCGACTTCGTATCGTCCTGAAGACCCTCCATATTGGCTTTCAGCTCCTGTAGGTCGGAGTAAGTAGCTGGAGAGGGTGGAGGAGGGACCGGAATGTCTTTTCGTCGAATACTCGGACCGGGTATGTTTTGATGTGCTTTTGATCCACTTGTACGGTGGTGTCGTTTGGCCACAGGTAACGGCAATTGTTCTTCAACTTTGAAACTTTTTTCAGCATCCGCCTTTTGAGTAAGCTTTTGGTTTTGTATGCCCGTCTCTGCCGTGGTCCTGTGGTGTTTTTTGGGAATAGTTCCTGTAGAAGACGCTACGAGTCGGTCCAAAGAAGGGTAATCTCTCCGGGCAGTCGGTTGACTTTTCCGCTTGCTCGGCGTAGGATCTCCTTTAAGAAAATACATCTATTATGCTTTAAAAAGCGTTATGACCTAAAGATTTCACTTACTTGAGACGGAACTATCTGGTAGTGGATTCTGAGCCTGCAGACTGGTTCTTGGTGCCGGCGTGGGCTTCGGCCCTGTGGCCGAACGCCCCCTGCTTAATGGAAGCGTAGTTACTACGGGCTCTGGTCTGGGTTCCTGGGAAACGGCCCGTTTGGGACTAGCTTTGGGATTGCTGTTTATGTTGCTACCAGCTCTTGGACCCCGCCGTGCAGATTCCAAGCTATTGTTTCTTTGCATTTCAGACTGGTAAATGCTGCGTTTCACGTCGTTTACATGTTTGAAAAAATCCTGGGCGTACTTATTTTGTTTTAAGTCTAGCGGAGGTGCGCATTGCTGCTGCTCCATTGATGCTGGGGGTGCGGTTTCTAGGCGGAGCTCTATGGACTCATCTTGGGCACTTGAAGGCAGTGTTCCTGCTGCAGTCTTTCGCGGTATACCGCTGCTACCACCCCGCGCTATGGACCCGTACACATCGTCAAAGTCTGAGCTAAAGTAATTTGACGAACAATCGCAGTTTCGACACTCGTACCGGCAGTTGTCAGAATAGCTGCACTTATCGGGAGCTGTCACGGGCACTCCAGACACAGAGCCCATTCCGATAACCCCGTCCAGGCTACAGCGCCTACAATCAAATCCGAACCTGCTCTCTGAGCTCCCAAAGTACCGCCTCTGGCCAGAGTTCGAGTACACCGAAAAGAGACTAGAATCACTGACGCGCCCGCCATGCCGCCGATTAGGATGTCGGGCGTAGCGCTGGGAGTTGTCGCTGCTTCGAAGGGAGAACTCGCTAAGAATAGAGGCCTTAGAGTCGCTCTTATATATTTGGGGGTCGTAGGAGTCCACCAGTGTCTGGGATCCTCCAATGGGTCGGTTAGCGGAATACATGAGCGGGTGCAGCGGCTGCGTCCCACTGACGGCATAGTAGAGGTCTCCAGTAGCCGGTTCTGCAAACACGTTTGCCTCCAGTCGTGCCATGGTATTGTACTTGTGATACGGCAGCGAGTCGCTGGAGGAGGAGGACTTCGTGTTTAACCGCTGCAGAGAAGCCGCACCTGCCACCGACCCTCCTCCACTCTGAAACCCCACGATGTAGTGCTGCTGTTGGGCTCGGCGGGGAGGCGTGGCAGATCCATGCGCGGTTCCGGCAACCTGGGCCAAGAGCAGACTGCCACCCACAGCATAGTGACTCGGCATTGGATTTCCAACAATGGGCGGTTGATATGGCCGCTGGTGCGGATGCGGAAGGTAGTAGCCACCATAAATCTGTTGTTGCAGTTGCTGGTGCTCACTGGGAGTGGTGGTAGCTGAGGTGGACGTTGTGGCTGACGACTGCTGGAACTGGAGTATCGGGTTATAGTCGCCTGTTATAGCCACTGGGGTCGTCTCAATTTTATACACGCCGGGATTATTGGGGTTGTACGACTGGAACTCCAAAATATGGGCGGCCGGCAAGCCGACCCCGGGACCACCATTAGACGATGTCCGCGGGTCCACAGAGTTCTCTTGCTGGGGTCCCTGGCTTATGTAGTGCTCCTGCTGTGACTGTGGCGCCTTTAACTTTCCACCTGCCACTGGTCCAAGGTGTGCCAAGCAGTACTCACAGTTGTCTTTGCTGCACTGTTCCATACAGATTTTGCAGTCTCCAAAAGCGTCAGTGGCGCTTCCGTTTCCATCACTGGTTGCGCTTATTCGATGTGGCTGAGCGCCACCTTTTTTTGGTTGATGGTTGTGAAAACCTTTGTCAGTTTGTGCCGAGGCGACGGACATAGCTAAGCCGGTGGTTGCGCCTGTGGCCGATAAGTTGATCGTGCTGGCGGTTTCCTTAAAGAAAATCTCCTCGTAGATGTTCTCTTCGCTGCGGGAATGTCGCTTCTCAGCCTTGATGGGCGATTCCTCACTACCAGTCGGGTTTCGATGTTTGTCTACTAGTTTTTTTGAGCTCTTTATACCCTCCTTGAGCAGATAGTAATTGAAGCTTTTAATTCCAATTTCGCCGCGCAGAAAACGTTTGCCAATGGCAACCTTTGCTGCGTCGGAGGCCGAGACTGCAGGTACTGTGACGGCGGAGTCTTGAGCGGAGCTGCGGACGGAGTATACGTCATCTAGATCATTTACTTCGGTTGGGGCAACTTCCTGGGCGCCCTCGCTATAGAGTTTCCGATTGCGTTCCTTGCGAGTTCGGATATCAGCGTCGTGACCGTGCTTACTCGCAGCTCCCACTTCCCTCTGCAGGTGACCTGGGGGTAGATGGCGACTGTTGTCAAGGCTTAGGTTCCGCTTCTGCTTCGAGTTGCGCTTCTGCGTTCCTTTTTTTTCCACTCTTTCTGATGCTGTGGCTGCCAAATTTCGCTCAAGGCTGCGCACCCGGCTTGTCATGCCGCCTTTCATTGGCTCCAACTGCTCATTGTCGGTGCTGCTCGAATCGCATCCATAATTTAAGCTTATGGCGGCGCTTCCGGAAGCTGCAGTGGTAGTGTGCTGTACCTTGATCTTGCCCTGCTTCCCTGTCACATATTGATGCAGCTCCTTGGTCAGATGGTTTTTTGCCACCAGGCTACTGGAAGAGGGCTGTCCGCCTGTATCGATTCGCGCCCTGTGCTCTAGTAACGGTTTCCCGGAAACGCTACTGCGGCGCATGGGGTTCGCCAAGTGACTTATATCCTCGGTGTAGGCTGGATCATCGTAGATCCTTTCGCGAACTGTTGTAGCAGATCTGTCTTTAGTCTGAAAACAAATAAGGTATGAAATAGTTGAACTCTGTGATGGTTTTGCACAAATTTGAATTGTTCACCTTAACTTTGTTTTTTTTTCGACTACGGTGCGGTATTGTCACATCTGTCAATTTTAGTAGTTTTGGCCGCAACGACCGCTTTGACACCTTCCCTCGCTCATATGTCAAATCAGAATAGGTTTCAGTGGTCATCTTTTATACAATTCGCGCAAAACTACAAAATCGGATGCTACTGAGAAGACACCTTTAGCTGAAACCTGCAGTTGATATAAAGTTAATAATTTGTTAAAAGCACGCCATCTCAGTTCACCGATGAAGAGATAAGGGCTTTAAGAAGCTTAGAACGTAGGAAGATCTTTTGGATTTATTTTCACATTAGATAAAACAAATTCTGTAACTTAAAGTCATAAACGTCTTTATTCTTGTGCGTCGAGCATTTTTATCGTTTTGGTTTGCTATTGTTATGTTACTTTACGCTGTCAATAAAAGCATTCTCATTTTAGGGTGTGGCTGTGAAGAATGCGTAGCAATGCATTATGTCTAAACCATCCTCTCGGCTAATTCGACATAGGTAGTTGAAGCAAACATATGCATACATGCAGAAGAACTTTTGTACGCAATTGGAAAACCTATACAGACAAATTCGTACCCGTTGGGTGGGGTTGCTAGGATTTTACTAGTTAATAACTGCATACGCACCTGTTTAAAGTCTGTTCTAAAAGGCCAGGATTCTGGAGATACCAAAACACTGTTTAAGAATAAAGTTGCTACTAGCATTGAAATATCTTCAGAATGCGATTCACAAAGTTTTAAAAACCATTTGTGCAGTAGTTTACGAAAATAATGGTTGCATGGTTTACATGGTATGCTCGCAATATTTTGTTACTTATACACAATCGTAACCATTTATCCTTGTATACACACACTGTCATGCGTTTTGTAGTATCTTCCAAGTGCCCTATTGTATGCAGTGGCACTACATTAGTACAAATGAGAGGACGAGACGCAATATTTCAACGTTCCGTCCGTTACGCGAAAACGAAACTGAATTGTCTGCGCTTAGGATTTCAGCAGCTTGTGCTCGTGAATGAGAATGTTGCTTTCCTTTCAGTTTGCCTTCGCCGTACGACAGGATTGCTCCGACAACTGCTCAAAAGGATTGTGAGCATCTCTTTGAAGGATGCCGAGTTCAAGGGAGAGAGAAATAGACAACGTTTCAGACAAGCCTAACGCCTGCGCCCTGATTAGCCTGATTTTGACGTTTCCACGCATATTCGCAGCATACTTCCACCGCCAAAATTGCATTGCAATGTGGACACTTGGTGTGTTCCCCAACATGCGGACCAAAGTTTTTACTTGTTGAGAAACACACATGGTGATTACAATAATATCCCTATGATAACTAAAATGAGGTATTTCAAAAGGAAAGGACCAACTTTGGGTGTTAAATCCAATTTTAGCCAATATTTGTATTAAAGGTTTACAAATGCTTAACGCTTCCCCTAACGATACTGCGCATGACTCACCTAGTGGTGTGAAGTGCGTAATTGTTGATTGTAGAAACACTCCTATATAGTATGTGTAGGAGCTCCCTTATGGAAGTACCCGATTCACTTTATTTTGGCACGTGTTCCCCCACACTGCCACATAACAGCAACATGTTGCTGAGCTTGCGTGGTCGTCCTGGCTAAATATTTCTGGAGTCCTGTATTTATATTGCATATTGGCACAACATTTTTCACGACATCGTAACAGTATGTATGCATGTACATTGTACATATATCTCATACTGCGCCAACTGATACCGTTTAACAAACAAAAACAGACTGTCATCGGTACAGAACACAGCCTCTTTTTGGCTTTTCAAATAAATGATTAAATTGCTAGTTCCGCAGAATATTGTTAGACTATTTTGAAAACAAATGGAGAAAATTAACGGGGGCATGGCTTTTGCGTGTAACTCAAATCTGTCACTGTCACCGGCAGATAGAGACACCAACAAATGAACACGAAGAGGATACACCAAATTCAAAGTTTGGCACAGGGGCGTATACCATGTAGGAATAAAATACATCAATCTACAACCATTGTAATGAACATCTGAGAGATGGTGACAATTGAACATGTTTCCTTCGCTTCAGACAGAAACTAACATCTGGTGCCTCTCAATCTAAAATGTAATAGAATTATATAAAAGGTATATCTGAACGAATAGGTTGTACAAGATCATTAGTATAAAAGCAAGTTATTATTTTATTTAGTATTAGTACGTTATACTTTTTGAATATACGCTTTTATTTATATTCATTCATATTCAACACTCTGATTGGATCAAAAATTACAGTTCGTAAATTAACAGTCATTAAGAAAACAAAGTTTTATTTTTACTTTTTAAAAAATGTACAAATGTAGTCGCCCGACATGTTGAAATTAAAATATATTGCTGTAATCTTAAAAGACCAATATATATGGTTGTAAATGAACATATATTAAGAAACAAGATTCCTGATTTTTTTTTAAATGTAATTTCCGCTCACTGTATGATAAAAATTTATATTAAATGTACTTGGACATATGTTTCTATTGTTAAATGTCATACCATTTACAATACATTTATTTTCAAAAAATAAAATAAATTTATTATAAAGCCCTCGTGAAAAGAACTTTGAGGATGTCCAATCTCGATAAGAAATTAGAATTTGAAGAAACTGTAAGTCATGTTCTTCGTACACACTTTTTGGAAATTCAGAGACCGGTGCTGTTCGCAATAGTGCTGATATATTCTATGATGCTAGCTGTGTACACATGGAGCATATCAAAACGGCGACATAACACTATGGAGACAAAACAAATGCAGTTCGGTATAAGGAGGATTTTGAAAAAGGAGCAATAAAATGTTGATTTAGTTAAACGAATTATGCGCGCAAGCATGAACAACATCGACCATGGAACTGATAGGTGGAATGCTGAACTGGAAAAACTGAGAAGGATTGTCCTGACCATAACAAGTGATATGAAAAAGCTGGAATGCAAATTATGCGGGTTCTAAAAGAACACAAACTGTTTTTGGAATTATTCGAGTTAAAATTCAAATGACACATCAGAATTACAACCATATTAATGCTTTATGAAGCCACGGGTCCAATTCTTGACAATCGGCTTAGACTTGCTATTCCTGTCCAGCTCATCAGCTTGCATTTGTTCACTGAGCTTTCGCTGATTTTCTCGGAACTGCGATATGGAGTCATTAAACTGATTATAGTACTGCAGCACTTCTCTAACATCATCTATCTCACTTGTGCCCAAAACACTAAGGAACGAGGCAAGATCATAGAGGGTCGTGTCATTGTCATTCCCAGTCCACCGTGGGATCGAGAAACAATTTGAAGGGTGAAACTTCGTGGAGTTCTTATCCCAGTCCACGACCACCACTCGCTTTAGGTCTCGGTTCAAGTTGTCAAGATTCTTCACATGATGGCCCCCAACAAAGTGTGTTGAGTCGCGAACCAGGCGATACATGATAAAGCCGTTTGGATCAAGGGCGTCGAGCAGCGGAAACACCGTAATCCCTTGCTCCGCCGTGTAAACAACGATTTCAAAATACTTAGCGCATTCCTTCAAAAATACGTCAACGCCGGGGCGCTTCTTAAAGCGCCAGCCCGTTTCGTAAGTCCAGTCAGGATGTATCAACACATCCTTAATCTCAAGTACCAAGGTATAAGCTGGCTGGACATATGGAGCCTGAAGAGGTTCGGGAAGTAGCTTCTGACTCGATGGTTCTTGAATGAAACGTTGAAAGTGGTTCACCGACTTCCATGTTCGAGCCATATACTGCTGCGTTAGGGGCAATTCACTGAACTCGTCTATAACTTCGTTTCCCTGGTCATCTAGCGATGGCTTTCCGAAGTAATAAATGGCCCAAAACGAGAACAATATACCTCCTATACCAACGAGTCCAAAGCCGAGTTTCATCCGCTTCCAAGCCCGCTCCATTTCCCTTGTCTCCTCCTCTTCCTCTCGTTTGCGCCGCTCACGACTCTCCTCGTCGTTGGGCTCAGTAGAGGTTTGGGGAAAGAGTTTAGATAGAATTTGCGTAGAGGTCTTTTCATACGTCGAGTAGCGTCGGCGCGCAACGTATACCAAGGACGCATTGCAGCGGTGCAAAAGGAATCCAAAGCAGGTACTGTACCCCAGCTCCGTCCTGTGCTTTCCACCACTTTCTGCCGTTTCATCAGACTGCTCGATCATTGTGCGCCACAAGCCAGAGGTCAGCGCCCGCGACGTATTGATGAACTTGCGGCCAAATCGCGGGCATCCACAAAACAGGCGGTCGATGGCTAAAAAAGACATTGGCAACTAAATTTTATTTGGCGCTTTAAGTATCGATAGATTTTAGACTTGGGTTTTCTTTTTATAATAAGCCACTATAAAATTTGACATTTTTATATTAACCAGCCGAGGGAGAGTATATTTTTTTCTTCTGTGTGAATTATTTCAGTAAAATTTTGTCGCAAACAGCCGATTTCACGGATACTTTTTGACTGCGAATAAATGTCATTTCAGCCCAGAGCCAACTAACATATGCTTTGAATTTTGTTACCTCTTTATTTTAATTTACTTCCAGCAGTTTCATAAATATTTAAAAAATATATCTGCCATCGCTACAAAAAAATAACTACTCTTAAAAAAATTTACAATTTTCTTGAAATGCAAAAATAACCGTGGCTGCAAAAAAGACGGTAGACGAACTGGCGAGTTATATCAATGATCAATGATGTAGTGGAGACAAATGAAGCTAGCTAACTTAAGCACAAACAGTAAGCGGAAACTTAGACTTTCATTTATTTTCAAGTTAACATACTAATTGAGAGTGCACTGGGAAAAGTTTACCCAGTAAAAATAGGCATTCTAAGAACTATTTTTTTTTTTTATTTCAGCTGTTTTTCCTTTTTATTATTTTGTAAAACATCAGTTTAACTTCAGCTGAGTTAGAAGATCCAGCTTGTGCACAAGATCATCGAATCCGCCCAACATTTCTAAATTTTAAAATGAAAACATAAAGTAAGCAAACGGCTTGGATGGAACCCATATTTTGAATGTTTTTACAAAACGGTAGGATCTAATTCTAAAAAAATCGGTATAAAATGCTATAAATTTCTTGCAGTATTTGCATTAAATTATTAATTTCAAACAATCATTGGTCGTGAGGCGAAATGCGTCCGGCACCTGTAAACCACCGAAGAATTATTATATAATTGGTTCACGCTTTTAATATTTTGTTCTTACTCTTGTCCTTTTGTTTTCGTTCTTTTGTGCCACGATTCTGGCCGTGTTGCTTTCCTCCGGCAGCATTACCATTCGCCTTGCACTTTTTGTTTACGGTACGCACAGGATTGCAGTTCTGGTCACTACCGCCGATTGCTTCGGCTTCTAACTTATCCTCTCTGGTCATTTGTCCAGCGATACATTGAGACCATGTGCCCTTGTCATAACGACAGCCTTACCGACAAAGTAGAAAAGAATTTACATTTTTTTTTAATAAAGCGTTTATTATTACTACAACGAACTAGACATTCATGCCATTGTTAGGAAAAGGAAATGCAGCATTTGAAAAAAAAACTGAACAAAGCTTTGGTAGGGAAACCCTGTACTTTTTGATGCAGAAGGAACTGCGCCAAGGAGGAATGAAAAGCTTAATTCAAAGGTAGAGGCAATGCAAGAATGTCGGTCAAACAAGAGAGAACGCTTCAGTCGAGTGCCTCGACTATCAGATATCCGTTACTCAGCTAAAGGAGTTGCTGGGAGATGGAGATATGCAAGCAGCAAAGCGACTGTTTTTGAGATCGCTGTTGTCCTTCCTATGGGAGCTATAGGATATAGTTGTGATAGCTTTAAAACTGAGATACTTGATTGCGTAGAAACGGACAGACGAACGGACTCGTCGACTCGTGATGACTAGTGATGCTGACGAAAAATATATGTACACTTTTTGTGGTCACTGCGTTTCAAACATCTGACTGAAGTCATTATACCCTCTGCAAGGGAATAAAAATGTAGACGCCAATCACACAGATCTTAGCGTTATGGTCATTTGAGGGCGTAAGAGTAGACTTGGCACTCGGATCAAAGAAATCTCCATTGGGCAGGGCCCTAGACTATGGTTGCTGAATGACAACTATATACAGTGGTGGTCAAAAGTATTTTCACAAAACAAAAGTTAAATACTTAATTTGAACTTACTTCTTGTTAACTTTGGCCTCAATGGAAAGGTAATTTAATTGCCGTTTGAATGATACAATACATTTCTTAACCCATTCAGTACTTATTGAAAAGGACGAATTGTTTAAACATATACTTTTTAAACTTTTTGGATCAAAAAATTTAAGTTTTCAAGTCAAGGAAAAAAATTAAAAAATCAGATGTTTTCACAAATTCGTCCTTTTCAATAGGTACTGAATGGGTTAAGAAATGTATTGTAGTATTCAAACGGCATTTAAATTACCTTTCCATTGATGCCAAAGTTAACAAAAAGTAAGTTCAAATTATGAGTATATTTAACTTTTGCTTTGTGAAAATACTTTTGACCACCCCTGTACATACGTTTTTATAGTTCCCGAGATCTTAGTGTTCATAAAAAGACGGACGGACAAACAAACATGGCTAAATCGACTCAAGTAGTCTTCCTGATTAAGAATATATTTGAACTCCTGGGTCAGAAAAGCTTCATAATATCTGTTAAGTACCTTTCAAGAACAATATTCTCTTTTACTCTAAGAGCGACAGGGTTAAAAAGAAAGATATATTTTTTGAATTTTTACATAACGTGAAAATTGCCGGCACCCACCTTTCTTGCACTTTTTCTGTATAGTGCGTGTTGGCAAGCAGTTTTGCTCTCCTTTTCTTAAAGATAAAACACGGGAACGCGTGTTTGTTTTGTCATCACAATTTGACCAAGCACTCTTCGCGTAACGGCAAGTCGACCCTATCAATAATCAAACATCAAATAAAAGTTACATAAATTATAAAATAAGAAATTCTAACTCGTACCGCTCTCTGACGTCCTTGCCGTGGATCCTGTTCTCTTACCTCCGTGGTGTTGGCCATGTCCATGCTGCTGCTTGGGTCCTTGGCGTTGTTGCTTATCAGTGCTTTTGTAGCCTTGCTTGTGCTTCGGCTGTGATCCCTCTGATGCTGCACTGCCATTTTCGGCAACCACTAGTTTTCTCGAACCAGACTTATGCCCCCCAACCTGCTGAAAATGCTCTTGCGACTTGTTAGGCTTCCGATTCTTTCTTAGGCGGTGAGCCTCCTTATTTGTTGTGGCTGCGACGGTTTCATCGTCCAGAGCGCCACGAGCCGGGCGAAAGTGTACTACATCACCGGAACTCCTCTCCATGACCAGACGTATGCCATCAGAAATAAGTTCACCATCGATTGATGACGGAATCTGTGCCAATACCACCACAACCAGTTGCAGGACTGTGGTCAATGTTAGTAGGAGATTCATAACTATTTTGGAAATCTAAAAACAGCAAAACCATGAACAAAAAAAAAATACAGGAAATTAAAATTAAATTGAACTTTTCTTGCATACCACCATAGCAAAACTAAAAAGGCAGTTCTGGCCTGTTGTTTTCTTCGTTTTTTATATCGGCGGAACTAGAGTTTGTTTTGTACAAAATATTAAAGATATACGCTCAACTTCTTATAACTGTTAATTCCGCTTTTAGAAGATATGTTTTTTTACTTCAAAATCTTAAAATAATCTAGAAGGCAATGATTAATTTTTCTAAATGTAATACAGAACACCTCGTTGTAATATTGAGAAGTTCGAAATCATATAAATACATGTCCTTACATATTGTCAAAACATGAGTTCTGAAAATTCGAAGCTGTTTGGTTGGTCTTCAGCAAGATTCGATATGTGCAAAATAGACAATGTCGAAAAAGGAGACACCGATTTTTCTGATAATTCTTGGGGCTGCTTAGGCTCGGACCGCAAGAGTCTAGGTTGGAGTGACAACGTTGACAGCGACCCTTATGGTGGCTATGCATTGGAAAGTGAAACATCGATCGCAACTGGCGGCGTACGCGATCCCAAGGATTACAACAAGTTACCTGTCGGTTGGATAGAGCGCATAGCACCCAAAACTAAGGAGTGCTATTTCTATGACAAAAGTAACCGAAAGGTATATTTGACATTGCCTCCGAATGACTGCAAAGAAGCTGAGAGAGTCGGCTGGAACGGCGTTGCCGGAAAATATCGTGAATGCAATTATCGATGCATTCTTCGGTGCAGGCACATATTGGTGAAACACAATCAATCAGATATATGTAGCTCATATCGTAAGCGACTGGTGACGAGAACTAAGGAACAAGCCTTACACAAGATTTCGCAGGCCCGGGATCTAATATCAACCGGCGAAATAGAGTTTGCTGAATTGGCAAAGGCGATCTCAGACTGCTGTTCTGCTCGACACGGGGGTGACTTGGGCCCCTTTAAACTTACGCAAACGTCTTTCGGCTTCGAGAAAAACGTTGTGCGCCTTAAGATCAATGAGCTTTCGGATATTTTTGAGACAAAGGCAGGATATCACATTTTGTTGCGGACGGCAGTAAGTAACAAGAATAGAGAGTTCAGGAAAAAACACAGGCACCTTAAAAAATTAAAAGGTTCTATCGGTAAAGATAAATTTAAAACCTACATAAAAGCAACCCAGCAATTTTCCAGATATGTGGACCAATCGGAACCAGGCATATGCAACTTGCTTGGTCGGAGACAAAGGATCCGAGATTCGGAAAGTAATTTCAGTTATTCCAGTAGTATGTTATACAAAGAACCAAGTCTGTCTGATTTCACAGAGAAGAGTAAACTGAGCAAATTGAGATTGTACACTCAACAAAAGCATGTAATAAAAAAGAAAATAGTTCAGGAAAGGTTGGATATGACCGTAAACCTTGGAAAATTCCTCAAATTAATAGAAACTGATGGTCTGGGGAACAGTGTCATCAAGGATCATAAATTGAAAAAAGATTTATTTATTAAAAAGGGCATATAAAAAGTGTAAAAAGTTGTCTATGAACAGTTATGTTATTGGATATAAATGATCAAATTAAATTATTGAAAAAGCATGTTAAACGAAACTGAACAAACAAATTTTCGTAAACCCAAAACACAGGTTAAAATTTGGAAAGAGTACTAAAATCTTTTTAGTTTAACTACAGCTTGGCATCTGACAAACATGTGGATATTTAAACCAGTAAATTTATTAAAGTTATTTTCAACAATATGTCTTAATCAGCACTATAATTTGAGAAATAATTTTGGATCCAGCTACATCGTATATTTTCATTAAAGGTCCTTCTGAAAGGCTTCACACACACATTCCATTAAAATCTTTAGCTTGGAAACTCTTATATGGCTGTTTGACTCAACGCGAATTCTCTCTGGCTCACAACAGGAAGGGGGTGCCTGACCACGCGCACATGGAAAAATCACAAATTGAAACTCACTCTCAAATCCCAGAGAGAAAATATTCGGGCATTTGCAAATTGTTTTCAAGTTTCAGGCTGTTGTTCCACAAAGAAAATGTCTTGAGGAAATGTACTTTACTGTAAGACGGCGTCTAGCGATCGGCACGCTCGCAGTCAGAGTTGTAGCTAAACTGAGTGGGCGAAACGCCACAACTCAATGAACTCGAGAGCCTCGAAACTGCTCAAAACCCCAGAGAGTCAATGAGAGCAGCGGCAAGAGCATTGAGACATGCTTCCTTATACCTACTTTTTTATATACACAGCGTCACTTATTATTATCAACCTGCACATTCAATTTGTAAGTGCTTTCAATTTTCCTATGAAGTTGTCTGGCACTGTACGATTTTTCCAATCGAGCTGCTTTTATAAATAAACAATATTATCAGTTACAAATGCATATTCTTAATGTTCATGAGTGGCTTGCATTTCACGCAGATGCCATTGTTATACTGTATGCGTGCATTTCTATATATTGCACAGATGCGCTTATTAGAGTATTAAAGGGCTAGGACGCCCTTTTATGCAAAAGGACATTTAATGACGTCTGATAAATAGCGCTCACATTAATATTTTGATATCAAAATCGACCGTCTGAAAGTCACAAGTTATTTGATTTTCATTATTGGACTAATTAATCAAAGAAAATGGACAGAAACAGTAAATGCATGTACCTCTGTTCAGTCAGTGATAAGATAAGCCATCCTTTACATATGTGCCTGGGTGCATATAAACAAACAAGAAAGCTAAATGTAAACAATGACCATGCATTGTGTAACAGATTGGAGTTCTTCGAGCAGTTTTACAATTATGTATATCAAAATACAAGTAGATACAGTTTTGAGCCAGTTTGAGTACATACGAGCATATCTCTTTCCCAGTTCCATTTTGTTTCCGAGAGCTCAACCAAACATGTTTTGAGTGATTTCTCTGGGAGACAGATTTAGTTTAGCTAAAAAACGAAGAGCGGGCGTAGACTAATGAACAACAAGAAATATGTGCATCCTGGCCAAAACAAGTTCAGATGGGGCATAAGTATAACGAAGAACCAAAGAATTTTCGAATATCGGATAGCCTCTATATTATTAATCGAACTCTTAATCTATACTCAATTTATATTTTAATGTTACCACAATACTTTAGACAGATACTTACATTTGTATGTATAAATGAAAAATTATACATTTTTCACTTACATATAACTTTTCCAAGTTCCCACCCTGAGTATGTATCTTCTTGCTCTCTATAATAGAAGACATATATGTACATGTAAAGCAAGCATAAGTAATTCAACACTTCCATTAGCCAGCATTAAATTTGACACTGTTGATTATATATCGCTATTGTTTAATTAATTAAGAAACCTGATTTTAAAGTTTTCATTCCAGGAAAAACGATGTGCGCATGGTCGTTTCTCAGGAAAACAATGAACGCTCTTCTATGGTGCTTAAAGCACAGTATTATAAACTACCCAAATGATATAAAAGGTGGTAACGAAATTTGTGCAATACTTTACTGAGGCTTAAATAATTTTTTAGGCCTGAATAGAGTACTTATTAACCCATCAAATTCTTGTATAAAAAATTACAGAAAGTTTTATTTCGTAATATTTGTATTTATTAAAGTTCAGTTACTTTTTCTTATGTTGTATACGTACGTAAACAAATTTCACTTTACTTTGGGGGAGTTGCTTTTTGCTCTTCCTTATGGAATTAAAAGACTCAGATAAATACTGCCCCTAGGGATGATGTGTTTATGAATTTTCATGCTGTGAGTGAGCTGTTCTTCTTGACTTTGTAGTTATGAATGATAGGGTACGGTTGTAAAACTGCTTACAGAAAAATACATTAATTCGTAGTTAACGTCCTATGTTTATATATGTGTTTATTAAAAAGATAAACCATGTCTTCGAAATGGTACAATTTTTAATCGGAATATGTATGAATGTAAGTATGTTTGTCTGTACTTTGACTTGTATATTAATTTTGGGATTGGTATTTCCAAATTTATATTTTAATTGTACCCAGTGAAAGTGAGTTATAAACTACTTTAAAATGCCAATTGCCTACGTTGCAACTACGACGGATCTGTAATTTAGATCCGTCGTGTCTCATTCTTTTACTTTCTGTTTTCTTCTTTCTATAGTAGGTTTTTATTTTTTACAATATTTACACTAAGTGTTTTATTAATTTAATATCTGCGAATGAGAAACTTTATCGTCCCTTTGATTTCAGTATTTATTTTCCTCACTTTGTTTTCTTGAGATGAGATACAGCAGCTGATATTTGCCAAAATTTTACATCAATAATCAGATTATTTGTTTGGTTTTAATATTAGATTTACGGTTAATATTATTTAAATTCAATAGAAGAACAACTCTGCTAAATTTATGAATGGGCTTAAATAGTCATACAAGTTAAGAGGCAACTGTCATTCCAGTTTAATCATTGCAGAGAATGATGGATGTTGGCTTGGATGTACATATGACTTTTTTCTTTGAAGTTAACTAAATAATTTGGTATTTATGTTTGTATGGTATTGTATGAATATATTTTTATTCTGCATTGCATAAATATGATAAATTCCGCAAAGTTGCTATTACGTTTTACAGTTAAACATACTGTCGTTTACATTAAGTTTATCGTTTGCTTGAAAACCAAACTACAACATTAATCAATATGTGCATTAATTAAAATGCTTTTCGGGTATACATAGCAGACAGTTAATGTCGTTACGATTTTTCTGTTAAGAATTTATTGAAAAATAAGTTCAACTTAAACTATTTGCATCGTATTGATACAAACTAACATGGGGCATTTAAAATTATCGAGTATGAAATAACTTAAACGCGTCCTTTGCGAGCAGCTGTATGTAAGTGAAAGACAAAGAGATAACGGTTGTAAAAGATTTAAAAAAGTAAATGGTACCTCTTTCAAAAATGTAATACTTTGTACACATTTCTATTAATAACCTTATTTTATATTTATACCTCTTGGCAGCATAAGCATTTAAGTAAATATTTGTATAAGTGTAAGGTGATGGATTTCAGTGCCAAAATATTTCTGAAAATAATTAGTATACTAAGGTATCTAAGTGGCTTAATATTTATAAAAATTAATAACTTTGAAAATATTTTAGCACTGAAATGCCCCATTTTTACCGTCAGAGGCTTTGCAATGTGGTACCTATAATTGTAAACTGGTTAACTCACCTTTATCTTTGTTCTTACGCTGTTCCTTGGCACTCTTATCCTTGGACTTTCCGGGCTTGCAGTTCTTCTTGATAACACGCGTTGCTTCGCAGGACGGATCACTGCTCGCTTTCAACTTATCAGCTCTAGTCATTTGTCCGGATGCGCATTCCGACCAGGATCCCTTTTCATACCGACATGCTGGTGTAAAAGGAAAACAATTTTACTACTCTGTGATGACGGCTTTATACTCTTTATCTAAGGGGCTTACTATTTCAAAGAGGAACAAGAAAATTTTAAACTATTACCTTTTTTACATTTCTTCTGAATTGTTCGCGTTTGGTCGCATGCTGGGTCTCCCTTCTTTAATGTCAAGGTTCTAGAACGTGTATTAGTTTTTGTATCACACTCAGTCCACGGATTCTTGCCGTATCGGCACGACAAACCTATAAAAAATAGTACCGCACTAAATATTTGCATTTCCTAGAGCAGCCATATCCAGCCTCTGACTCACCGTCGCTCTTGGTGCCACGTTCGTTTCTTATTAATACTTCGTGATCATCTTCCTCCCATACTTCTCCTTGTATGGCTGTAGTGGGCTGGGTTTGCTCCGCCACCGGAAGTGCGAGAGGTGTTTCCTGGCCCTCTGTGGTGCCCCATACAGTGCTACACAACACCCCCGACCATGTCACAAACGATGCCAGCAAAAGCGCGTTACAATTATTCCTCATGGTGTGACTTATACTGCTACTGCCCACTGCGAAAAAAGAAAAACCCATTCCTTAACACAAAAGAGATTTTAGATACATATGCCGCAATACCCCCAAGAAAAAATATATGCATAAAATAATAAGACGTAATATGTATATTTAAAATAAAGAAGAATATACAATTTCTAATATTTATTTAAAAAAAAAAAGGTTCACATGGCAATTGTCAAGCCCATTTGCTTCAATACACACATACATCACAATTGCATAGAGCATTGTTATTATAAGCATTTTTATTTGACACTAATTAAAAATTTAGTTAAGTGCTGAATTTTATTGCCATTTTCTGATTCCATAATTTTTGTATTTTTTCTGGCTCACAGCCCATAAAATTTAGGACCAACCGTTAGTTATACACACAAAAGAACTCCAGACTCAGCGCAGAATAACTTTCTACGGCAGAAGTGCTCTCGTTGCACGGCTCTTCGAAACTGAATGAAATGGTATAAGGACAGCAGCATAAAAGGCCACGGCATGTATAACATCCTGCAGGATTTTATGCTCATAGGGAAGCCCTTTCTCTCGTTTTTTCTCGTTGGGAGTTCTCAATGTCCAACTCGGTCGTTTCTACTGAGAGAGTGCGCACCGGAGCCTGGGCTTTTATCAATGAGCTGCGCATGTTCTGCATATAAATATTTTACATTCTATTTTTATCCGGAATTTTGTGTTCCTTAAGTGGCTTCTATGGGCTACAGTCCCAGCGAAAATAAATGCGACCAAGTCTTTTCGAAAAAATCGAAGCTTATTTGTTTAGAGACTCATGTACTTCCAAGGGAACATTTTGAAGGACTGCTATGCTAATTAGCACCTGTTTAAATATGACTTAGGTAATGGACTCGCCTGGTCAATATTGTTTTGTTCGGATAATCAATGGGGCCGTTGGTTTATAGTGACATTCTGCCAACCCCACCCTATTGCGATATGTGGTCGTTTGGTCGTCGTGTGTTGTTGTGCTGGCATACCGATGCACCGCCCATGTCTGTGCAATATCCTTGCTTTTTGTATTGCATGAACGTTTGCAACTCCAGTAATTCTCTAGAACAGAATATGATTTAACGTCTCATTTTATTGTTTAATCGAACAGCGCAAACAAATCACCTGTTGATTATATTCCTGTTCTGAAAAATAAATAGAATAAAGTCACCATTACGGTTAATTTGAGCCAGAGAAGAGTTTATAATGTCCAAACAAAAGGACTGATAAATAAGTATAAAAGTGTACCAATAGACAACAAAGCGGATCTTGTGCGCCGAAAAACAACAGTACTTCCCCTTAATGGCACGGGGCTGCCTCTGTTTAATTGGCACTGCAACGCCTCCTAACCAACAGCCTGGGGTCAGTATGTAGGCGTTATTGAGCCCAACAGCTGTCATAAAATTTAATAATGCAAATGTAATTAAGTCACCTGACACGGCTTCACGTGGTCAGGCTGTCGTTCCGTTCTGCAGCCACACCTTAAACAATAAAATTGATGACGCAGCCTGAACTTCTTTACGGGGACCCAACAAGGTTATTTTTAAATAATACCTTTTTATCTGACATTTTATATAAGTATATAGAATATAAATATAAAACATCCCAATTTTCCAATCTTTTTCCAATTTTTGCTTGATCCCTTAAGCACTATTCAATATTTCCGAAATGGCAAAAAAAAGATTTAAAAACCAGTGAAACCATCTTTCAAATAACTTAAGCTATGAATACGGGAAAACTATTTAACTCAACATAATTTAAGATGGTCACGACATACATACATGACGCTTACAGTTTTTCTAATGGAATTCGTCAATCCACAGTATTTTTATAAGACTATTTTTCCTGTATACGAAGTGAGTTTAATTGGTCTTTATAAAATAGTGTACCATTTTTTGACCAGTCAAAATAAACTCATTAAACAATCATTTAAGTACGTACTCGAGTCTGCACTTCTATGCGAGCTGCACACTAGTGGACACATCTGGACCGCCCGGATTGAATGTGCACGAAGCTTCGAACAAAGCCGGTGTTCCACTCAGTTGAGCAATTCCATTCAACGCGAATTCCGGGAGTAAACGAACAATAGCTTCCGGTAAAAAGTAGAGGTGAAGTTATCATTGATTCTTTGGCCAGTGTTCGAGCTCGTTTCCATGGCAACTTTGGGGTTCAGGAACAAGAGCGAATTAGTATGCATCAGCGCGTATGTACCGAGTGCTTATCAGTTGTTGGATAGCTGTTGGTGTTGGCATCGAAAATTCGGTTTCTACAGTCTGCGACTGACTGGAAAGTATATAGCAGCTCCCTAATTTGTGCTGCTATGGTGAAATAGTTTTGAGTTGAAAATGCCATTTAGGATGCATAATTTAGCAAGTAGCTCAGAGAGGAATATTTATTTGGCTTGGTTCCTGATCTCCGACTTTATTATGTTCCTTGCGCTGTCTGTGTCAGTACCAGTTATTGGCAGCGGCTCAGCCTGTAAAGTTATTGGTAGCTGCGATCCATTCCTGCCAATCTGCGCGGCGTCGACAAATGAACACCAATTTTTCTACAGCCACTGTGAAATGGTGCGAGATGCCTGTCTTACAGGAAAGGGTAAGTGATCCGTTATAAACTAAAGTCGTTGAAACGCTAAATCTTAAAAACTACAGATTGGAAATTGGATTACTTCAGCCACTGCAATGTCAGTAAGCTTTAGTCCTCATGGATAAGTTCGACTGCGCACCGTAGGTCGAATTTAGAACAAACCAGTTCAAACAATTGGATTTATGTATATACAAAATTTATAATAAAACGGATTTTAAGTCCTAACTGTATTCTAAGCGACAAGATGCGTGCTGAACTGTTATCTGGAGGCAGCCAGGGAAATCAATGGACTAATTAGTTAACTAACTTAGACAGTTTCTGACGTCTGAACTCTTTCCTCGCCTCGTCAAGAAGCACGTTGTGCAACAGATTCCGGTTTTGAGACTGGTCTGCCGTAAGCAAAGGGTAGGGATTGCCCCGAAGCTCCAGCACAGACTGCCTGTAGTAAATGCCGGGATAGTCCCGAGGGGCCTTGTACATGCGAGTATATGACACATTATAGTTCTCATAGCGCGGTACCAGCACCTTGAAGAGCTTGTGCACGAGTTGCTTCTCCAGCAGCCAATAGTCGGCCAGTTCCATGGTGGCCGTGTGCCGGTCCCCATGTCGGATGGCATTGGAAATAAGCTGCCAGATTATAAATTTGTAATTCACTGTAAATCAGCTGGCTCATGGCGATTGCTTACCAGTTCGGCGTAGCCACGAGCTTCGTCCGCCCGGTTGTAGAACAGTTCAATGCGCTCGTGCTTTACCAACGCTGTTACAGTCTTTCGCAGCTTCAGCAGCCGACCCTCCGGACCATCCGCATTCTTCAAGTTACGTTTATTGGGCCTGACTGCTATGCGCAGCTGTGACATCAGCTTTGTTACATCGGCTTGGTTCATTTTACCTGAGTTTCGACAATTTAACAAACACGAAATCACGTAATGCGCCGCCGAACAGCTGGCGGATATGTATCGATAACTGCGTGCTAGGGCTCACTCGATGTATCGATACCTGAGGTTTCTTATGAAAAAGCAGGGGTGGCACACCGCAAATTAAAATTAGAATCCCCGACAGCTCTGAGTGTTCCCTAAACTGTTGAATTGTTGAATCCAAAAATGTTGTCAAAAATAACGATGGACTATTTTCGCTGTACCTCTATGTTACCAAAAAGTAGCATATTAGAGTTTTTAAAATTGTATAACACTAGTAAAAAGTATAAAATTATTATTCAATTCTTTTTAACAGAGTAACAAATTTAAAAAACGTACAAGATAACACAGATTTGATATTAGCAAAAATAAAATTACCGATAGCACTGGGCACGAGTTCTCGATACTATCGCGAATGTGCCAGCTCTAGCCAACACGGTCACTCCAACTTCAGTGAAAATTTTTTAGATTTTGTGTGCGGTTCTTCTCTTGCTCAAATAAGTTTGTTAGGTTGAAGCGGTGTTTAGCCCCGAAACGCAATCAACGCATTAATCCGCTATTGAAGCCAACTGCCACGGCCCTCTGCTAGAAACTCCCCCGCATTCGAACGAAAAAATGGCAACAGCAGCGAACAGCGCGACAGCTGCCGGAGCAGCAAAAGACGCCCCGCCAGCGCCTTCCAAGTCGTTGTCCGGCATTGTGAAGCAGGTAAGTCGGATGGGATTTAGGGGAAATGGCTTCTGGTTCGAGATCTCAGTGAGAAAACAAGTGAAATGTACTATCTTTCATCAGCGTGGCAAACGCGGCGGAAAGCAGCCGAGTGCAACTCTGACAAGTGCGAGTGAGACGCGTATAGACTCGGTGCGTGTGTGTGACACGTTGCACACGCTCGTTCGATCCGAAGAAATGAAAGTTATAGGTGCCAAGCTGGCAGATTTTCTTCGGGCCGTTGTTGTTCTTGCTGCTGCCGTGGAGCTGGTCTTCTGCGTCACCAGCGAAGATGATTAACCGGCGTTGGGAAACTGCTCTACGGAGCTGCTACCCTGTTCCCCCTCCCGTGACTTTATTTGTGCGCTGAATGGGTTCGTTTCTAACCTCCCAGGCGAAGAGCATTTTTTCTGCTATTTATGAATGTAATTGGCCCTAGGTCTGCTTAGTTCAGCATCTACTTTCACTTGTTGGCAGCTTTGTTGCCAGCCGCCGGAGTTCGATGGCCATTTTCAGTCAGCTCGGTGGACTTTTGTCCGCGCGGCGATATTGATAACAAAATAAACGGCAGAGCTTCGCGGCTTATTCTGCGTTGGTGACGTTGGCACCCTGCAAACAAAGTCTCGACATCCCGAGATTCGACTCGCCCTCACTCGAAAAACCTGTTGATCTCGGAGGTATTAGCCGACGCCCTACGAGCTGCCCATTAACATATTGTCCTCTGCGCGCTCGCTTCTCGTCATTTGGAATTGCCAATGGATATGAACTATCCTCGAGTTTTCCAGGACCACAGCCAGTACATATTCGAGCAGAGGCACATACAAAAGATGCCTTTTACTTTTCTACACCTTAAACCGGTTTAAAAGCAGGGGCCTCTTTTCAGTTAAGGCACACCACTGAATTTGTTTTACCAGCCTAAAGAAATCCGTTGAGCGACCGGTACTCGAATTTCAATAGAGCTCACATAGGCGGTAGATTTCTAGCGCAGGCGCTATTTGATGGACACTGCACGTGTTGTTATTTAATTTTAACCCATGCTCACGTACAAGGCGAGATTTGGTTCTAGTTCCCATAATAAGTAGTTATCTGAGGGGTTAAATTTTTGAGCGGATAAATACTCCCACTTTCACGTGATATGAACTAAAGTATTCGACATATCGATAGTGCTATTGGTCGTGCTGGATCTTGTGGCGATAGGGCCATCGTTAAGTGTCCACCTCTAGACTCTAGCCCCACACGTGCATAGAATTTTAACCTCACTCGGACTGTTTCAGGTTCTCTCCGGCGACACTGTAGTTATCCGCGCGACCAAGGGTGCTCCGCCTCCAGAGAAACAAATAACCTTCTCGCATGTCCTGGCCCCGAAGTTGGCTCGACGTCCCGGCGCTGGTGGCGACGAGACCAAGGACGAACCCTGGGCCTGGGAGTCGCGTGAGTTCCTGCGCAAGAAACTCATTGGCGTTGAGGTGACCTTCACGTTCGACAAGCCAGCCAACTCGAACCGAGAGTACGGTTTCGTATGGATCGGCAAGGACAAGGAGACTGGGGAAAATGTGGTCGAGTCCATTGTACGCGAGGGTCTGGTGTCCGTGCGCCGCGAGGGACGCCCCACGGCCGAGCAGCAGACTCTCATCGAGTTGGAGGACCAGGCACGTGCTGCGGGCCGTGGCAAGTGGTCGTCCAACGCAATTGTCGCCGACAAGGTTCGCAACATTAAGTGGGCCCACGAGAACCCCGCCCACCTGGTAGATATTTATGGAGGAAATCCCGTCAAGGCGATCATCGAGCACGTGCGCGACGGTTCCACCGTCCGTGCGTTCTTGCTTCCCGACTTCCACTACATCACGCTGATGATTTCGGGCATTCGTTGTCCCGGCGTCAAGTTGGATGCTGATGGCAAGCCGGACCTGAGTGTGAAGGTGCCGTTCGCCGACGAGGCACGCTATTTCGTAGAGACCCGTCTGTTGCAACGGGACGTGGAAATCCGGCTGGAATCGGTTAACAACTCGAACTTCATTGGAACGATTCTGTACCCCAAAGGCAACATTGCAGAATCACTCCTGCGCGAGGGTCTTGCCAAGTGTGTGGACTGGTCCATGGCTGTTATGAAGACTGGTGAGTTTTGCAGCTTTTTAAGCCAAATCCGCAGTTCGTTTGCACAGCACAGCACCGAATTGGTAAATAACCTTTTGTTGTGCTGTTCACTGTTTGCAACCGGCTGCCAGAAAAAAGACGGACTCCAAGAATTTTGTGACTGAACATTGTCGCTGCGTTCATTTCACCCCGTCGACATCAACATCTGCTTTCCAGATTTTGCAAATAAATTATAATGCTACGATGACTTAAAAAAAACTTACCGCTCCCTTTTTAGGCGCCGATAAACTTCGTGCTGCGGAACGTATTGCCAAGGAAAAACGCCTGCGCCAATGGCAAGACTATCAAGCAAAAACACCCGCTTTCAACTCGAAGGAGAAGGACTTCTCCGGGACCGTAGTGGAGGTTTTCAATGGCGATGCTATTAATGTACGCCTCTCCAACGGCCAAGTTAAGAAGGTCTTCTTCTCGTCTATCAGGCCGCCGCGCGACCAACGTGCGGTGGTTGGCACCGACGGCGAAGAAATCGTTAAGGCTCCACCACGCGGAAAGAACTATCGACCACTTTATGAAATTCCACACATGTTCGACGCCCGCGAGTTTCTGCGCAAAAAATTGATTAACAAGAAAGTGCAGTGCAACCTGGACTACATCTCGCCTCCGCGTGAAAACTTCCCTGAGAAATACTGCTACACTGTCTCCATTGGCGGGCAAAACGTGGCTGAGGCTATGGTGGCCAAGGGCTTGGCTACATGTGTTCGGTATCGCCAGGACGACGATCAGAGATCTTCTGCCTATGATCAGTTGATTGCTGCCGAGCAGCAAGCTATTAAGGGGCTGAAGGGACTGCACGCAAAGAAGGATAACGCAACACTGCGAGTCAACGACTTGACTGTTGACCATTCCCGAATCAAAGTACAATATTTGCCCTCGTGGCAGCGTGCTCTGCGTACTGAGGCCATCGTGGAATTCGTTGCTAGCGGGTCCCGCCTTCGACTCTTTGTGCCAAAGGACAGCTGCCTGGTCACATTCCTGCTTGCCGGCATATCATGTCCGCGCTCCTCCCGCCCAGCGCTAAATGGCGTTCCTGCCCAAGAGGGAGAACCTTTTGGAGATGAGGCTCTAACCTTTACCCGCGAGCGTGTCTTGCAACGGGACGTTTCCGTGCATATCGATACCACCGATAAGGCAGGATCTTCAGTGATCGGTTGGCTTTGGACGGACAGCGGTGCCAACCTGTCCGTTGCTCTGGTGGAAGAGGGTCTAGCGGAAGTCCACTTCAGTGCCGAGAAATCTGAATACTACCGCCTGTTGAAGAGTGCCGAGGATCGTGCCAAGGCCGCCAAGAAAAACATCTGGACCAACTATGTGGAACAAGTGCCTGAGGAAAAACCTGTTGTTGAAGAAGAGAAGGAGGACAAGGTGGTGGTAGAGCGCAAAGTCAATTACGAAAATGTAATTGTCACTGAGATCACCGAAACTCTGACATTCTTCGCTCAGTCAGTGGAGAACGGATCCAAGCTAGAGTCCTTAATGAGCAAGCTCCACGCCGACTTCCAGTCCAATCCACCCATCGCTGGATCATATACTCCTAAGCGTGGCGACCTAGTGGCTGCTCAGTTCACTCTTGATAATCAATGGTACCGCGCAAAGGTGGAACGAGTTCAGGGCAGTAACGCTACCGTCCTGTACATCGATTATGGCAACAAGGAGGTAAGTCTAGCCTGGATAAAGTATAGTCTGCAAGTTCCTTAGATCCGTTTCCGGCTTGAAGTGAAACGCATGAGTCATAAGCTTGCTATATCAAATATGCTTCCCCGAATGACTATATATGTTGCGTGATGGCGTAAGCTAAACCCTACAGCTGCGTCAAATGTGTTCCCCGTTCGAGTCGTATGCAATTCTCTTAAAAGGTACAGAGGCTGTTCCATATTTTTTGGCTCAACTTATGTCCAAAGTAGCAGAATTAAATACGTACGAGGCAAGAACGCAAAGTTGCTGGGGGCGCCAGAAACATGCTGCAAATGTCTTCGAGTTGCGACACGTCATAACTTAAGAAATATGAAAAGTGCTGTAGTCTGAAAGTATTAATACCAAATTCCTTTTTCAGACGCTGCCCACAAGCCGTTTGGCAGCCTTGCCCCCAGCCTTCAGCAGCGAAAAACCGTACGCCACGGAATACGCTTTGGCCTTAGTCGTCCTGCCTTCTGACAACGAAGATAAGGAAGAAGCCTTGCGTGCCTT